GTCGGTGGTGGCGTTAGCCGTAGCTGCGGAAGAGGCGGAGGGAGCTGTAAAATTTGTGGTAGGGGAAATGAGGTGAAGGTTATGAAGGTCATCGCTCGAGAACGACTCCTCCACAAAATTCGAGAGCCATTCAAGCTCAGCCAGGTCGTCATACTGTTCATGACAAAAATAAAACCAATTAATTTCCAAAATCATGAGTCCACTATTTCCTAATTTATCTCATGCGTAAAATACTTCTTTTTTTATTTTTTTGATAAACATGCGTAAAATACTTAGACAGTACTGGTCAGCTGGTACAAATGTTATAAGCTTAGAGTGCAAACACTTGCTACTGTTGCTAAGATTGTATCAATTGTTTTTTCTGTTTAAAAAAAAAAAAATCTCCCGTTATTAACTTGCCTAAAAACGAAACTTACACAAATTGGTGAAGAGCCAAAACAACAAAAAACTAAAGATGAGCATTAATTGTAAAACCAAATTGGAAACAGATAATTCTGCAAAAGTTGCTAAAGGTTCTTGCACGGTCACGGCTGTAAATTTTCCATCATTGTAAATTATTCCTAATATTTCCAGCGACTATAAAACTTTTCCTCTTCTGATGAATTAAACATGTAATTTAATTCTACGGAAATTGTTTTAAGACAGGGAATTATACAAAAGAAGAAGGAAATGCTGGTTTTTACCGGAACGCAGAGTTCAGTGCCGGAGAATTGTGTATCAGTGAAGCTGCGGCAGCTAATATTGCCGTTAAATTGCCGGTCACCACCCGAGACAGACGAGTTACAGCTGTCGACCACGGTAAGAGAAGAAGACTCGCCAGAATTTCCGGTAATGCTGTCAAAAAAAGCGTCGGTCATTACCTCATCTTCCTTGGGAAAATCCAAAAGGTCGTCCACCGTAAAATTGTTGGAGTTACCAGTGATGTTTTGATTCTCCATCGATTTATGGTCGAATTCGTTATCTCCGGCATGGCTAAAATATCCGCCGACAAAGAATTCCGATGAAGCTTCCATTTTGTGTATGGGGATTCTAGCCAAGTAACGTTTTCGGTTTGGGTCCCTTTTTTTTTTTTGCCCTTTTAAGATATTTGGGTGTCAAATTTGGAGAGAATAGAGGGACGAAAAGGGTGGAGTGGAGTTTGAACTTTGAAGAGGGCTGAAAGTGAGGGGGGGTTTTGACGAGTGAAATCAGGGGTAGAAATGTAAACAAACAAAATAGCAACTGAATTAACTGGGAATATTTTATTGATTTTTATTTATTTTATCACTTATTTGAACTGGAAACAGCATCTTTACCTGCTGTCGAATAAATTATTTTGTAGAAATCAGTTGTTCCCAAACTTGCAACTACTGCACTGTAAAGTCGTATTCCTCTTTCCTTTTATGGTGTTACGTTCCTTTCTTTTTCTTTATTTACTTTTTAAGCATCCTATTATCCCTTTTCTTTTTCTCCTACTCGTTTTTTAAGTGTTTTTCTTTTTCCTTTTTGGTTTTCTTGAATTTTTTGTCTCTTATATTAGTTAGTGAAAAGAAATGATTTATGAAAAAATGAGAATTTTTTTTTCTGAAAGATGAAAATATGAGAATGCTGGCCCCAAAAAGGAAAAATGTTTCACAGTTCACGCTCATCAAGGCCGCCCGGGAACCTTCACAGGCTCCATTATGAAGTATTGGCAGCGTGTGTTCACCGTGAATTTCTTGTTTTTGTATTCCTATACTGAAATTCTCTCATAGCCCGTCCACAAATTGACAGTAGTAGTACCTTAGTTAATATTATGACTTAGTGGGTGTGGCACGCTCTAGATGTATGCATATTTTAGGAAAAAATAAATAATAACAAAAAATATAGAAAAACGGATCAATTGCAATTTAAAAAAATTAATTGCAGAGTAGTGGGATTTCCTAATTTTTTTCATTATTGAAGTTGGCAGGAAGATATGAGATAAACATAATAATAGTGGATAAGTATGGTAGTAACAGTTATGCAATGGTCGATAAGTAAGGTAATAGCAGTTAAATAAATATGAGAGTATGGAATATAAGAAGATGATTGTATATTATTCGATTGTGCGAGCGTAAAATTAAAATAATGACATTTTTTACCACCAAATCCATTGTCCATGCATTATATATAGAAAGACGTGGTCAGTTGGGATTATAAGTTAAAAATGAAAAAAAATTGTTTGATTTCCCTTTTCTATTTGGGGTGTGTAAATAAGTTGAAAATATCTAAAATTATTTTAATTCTAAAGTTTCCAGATGGTACAAAAGGAGTGGGAAGAAATTCACGCAAGTGATATCATCATCGTCATGTGCAACGTGAATAATTAAACCGCAAGCTGCGGAATCTTTAATTGGGCGTGGAAGTGAGTTAGTAGGAATCAATTAATGAATGAAGGGGAGGACTGAAGGAAAGGGGCTGAAATATTAGAGAGATAAGATCAATTGATGAAATACTACTAGTACTAAGTAGTAATTGAAAATTATTCAACCCCTTTTCCCTTAAGAATCGATCTAGCAGGTTTTGTCGCCGTGACTCTTCCATTCCATTACTGTCCAAGTTTACAGCCGGATTCCCCTGCTTCCTCTCTCTCTCTCTCATTATTTTTCTCTCGGGACCTGCGCTTTTCCCTCTTCTTTTTTATAATTTCAATAAATATTTTTCGCTTTGTGTTTCCTGCCTCTGATTTTTGTTTCTCATAATTTATTACCCCACATATTTATTACTAATAGTTAGTACTTTCTACCCTCTAATACACACGTAACGTTATTATTGCTTCCCAAAAAAAAAAAAAAAACCATACACGTTATTATATTCCTTGACCCACGTTACCTCACGATGCTTACAGCTCACCTCAAACCAAACAAAATGCTACTACGCGTCAGCTCCAGGTGTGAATTAAATTACCCGTATGTGTATGTGTTTCACTTTTTTTTTTCTCTCTCTTGTTTTTGGGTCTGAGAATGTGGGGTTGAATAACAAAACAACGTTTGATCATCAATTTCATGATTTCATTTCTTATACTAGTTAGTAATAAGATGCTTTATCTAAACAGAGGAAAAATAATGTTTTCCGCCCTTGGTACGTATTTCAAGAGGTTAGTTAACGGATGGAATGAACTCGAAGGAAAAAAGACTAAAATTAATAATAAAAAAAAAATAACGTGCCTTTGTGGAAGATGTAGTAGTATTCCATTTTCAACAATTTTTTGTCCAAGTCGGAATGCAAAGCTAGCTCTGTGCTGACAAATATCAAAATCGGAATCGCACTTCATAATCACTACCATACGTGTGATCATTTTATTTTGTCCAGACAAGTACTAACAGAAAAAGCTTTCCTTCATTACATAACAATAATAATATATTGCTGGTAATTTTTTTTCATTTTTAGGAAATTTCACGCGCTCTTTAGTTTGTAGCTTGAGACGAAAGCATTCAATTCACCCACTCGCTTCCCTTAACCTCGACATTAACTTCTAGCCCGAGTCACCTGTACAAATCCCCATGCCAATCGCGGTTGAGAAATGGATTGGATAAAGTTAAAAAGTTTGTCTATTCTCACCAATCATCACGCTAGCCTTTTTTTTTTTTTTACCCTCTAATATTAAATCTTATCATCGAGGTTAAAGTTAAACAAACAAAGTAAAAGCAGAGAATTGCTAGACTCGTCTTTAGCAACATCTGTGATCCCACCATCTCTTGGATATGTATACATATATAGAGCCTTTTTTGAAGGACTCATCCGTATCAATAAATCTTCAATCTAACATTTTGCCTTTCTAATTGGCTGGTTTTTGCACCAACTAATCTGGGTTACATATTGATTGATTGATTGTACGTACTATGCTGAGCTGAGATGTTTACAATAGTAGTCCCTATATTTATCTTTCATTATTATTCTGGGTGAATTTAAGAATGAATGAATACTCCTAAATTAATAGTCAGCATTTACTTTTTGTAGTTGTACGTAACTATTATGTATGGCTTTCAAATCCGACTTAGCACGTGACGAAGGTGAGGGGATACTGTCAGCCATCATGTGACTGCGAGTGTGAGGCCGACTTTATATGCAAATACCCATACAGAATTAGTTATCTTATAGAGTATGTGTGCTGCTAAGATACCACACCTCTTGCCAGTTTATTAGGTTTGAGTTCCAAGTCAGATTGGCCGGCCACCACGTACCAACTACCAGGCGGTGGTCAAAATTCAAGTTGTTAGTTGCTACAGCCTAAGTACATTATCATTACATTCATTAAGTAAGTAGCTCACAGTCATAGCCGGAAGCGGAATTGGAATCCCGTTTCAAGCTCTTGCCATAGGTCATTTGCCTCACCGTCTTCTCTTTGATACTTCCCCACACGTGTGCCAACAGTATGCATGCATCCATGTCCGCAACCAACGTGGCTGCACGTGTAGGATCATCACGTGAAAGGCACACACTGCACGTGCCTCTTGCCCGCAGCATGTGGCCACATTTTTACAATTTGATTTCGAATGATTGTCATTTCCTGAAACCATGTCAGCCATTCAGCCCAACTTACCTTCCTCAAATTGTTTATTGGGCTGCCTAAAAAACAAATCATAGGATTGCGTAACGGGCCCGAAGAGAAGGCCCGTGAGTTGGAATAGGGCGTCCCATAATGCAACTTTTACTTTTATCCTCCCTGTCATCTCAATAATTCTCCCGTGAAAAGCGCTGAGCAGCACCAAAACCATGTCAATGCCCAGACTAGCATGAAATGTGTTTTTTTTTTCACACACGCAGTAGTTGATGGGAGACAGGAATGAAGCTGTTCTCCGCAGGCAAAACTTATGACAATGGCCAGAAATTGAGACGGCAAACTATTCGGTGAGCAAGGGTAGAAGCAGAAAGTGTCTTATCTAGTTAGTATTCAGCTCAAAGGCTCGTCATCATGATCTGGTCCATAACAAGTCAAAAGACTTACGTGGAGGAGTCCAAGCACATTAGAACCATATATGTGAAATTACAAGAGATATCATACTGCTGAGAAGAAGTCAAAAGTCAAACTGTTGTCACCTGCTGCCACTCTCCATCCACTTCTTCCTTCCACAATGTCACGTTGTTACTGCCATCTGCCACGGCAAGTATATTTCCTGTCAGTGACCATGAGACTCTCCAAACAGGGGTCTTGAAATCCTTCAAAACTTTACCCTCCCATTGATCACCCTCCTTCATCACGGTCCATATGATAACTCTTCCATCTTGAGAAGCACTAGCAATTGTTGACTTTGGGAGTCCCAAATTGGGTGCCCATGCAACATCTCTTACCCAATCGGTATGCATTTGAAGAGCTGGGAAGCAGTCCATCTTCCAGATTCCGTTATAAAGCTTCCACACTTTCACCGCATTATCACATCCTCCAGAGGCAAGCTTCTGAACAGGATCGAGCACACCAGAACCTACAAGAGCACCGGGAGCTGTTGATGGTGCCCACGAGACGGAGGTAACGCCAACCGGGTGAGCCTGGTCAATCTGGGATGTATCCCAACTGCCATCAGACCTCGCAGTAAAAATTGATATGTTCCCATCTGAGGAACCACATGCCAAACAAAGGCCCAGCTCATGAGGAGCCCATGCAATAGAATTCACAGAAGCTTTATGGTCACCGAAAAGATGGGCCTGGCTCCACTCATTCTGATTCCCTTCCCTCCATATTATGACTTTTCCATCATAGGAGCATGACGCAACAAGGGACCCAAACTTGGGGTGTGCCCATGCTACTTGCCATACTGGTCCTTGGTGACCGCTTAGAGTTGCAAGAGGCTGCGAGTTTGAGTTACTAACACCAATTATCTTAATGGTGTTATCTGAAGAAGCTGTTGCAAGACGCTTGCCATAGTAGTCCATTGCCACATCATGAACTGTATCCTGGTGACCAGTCTCAATCTTTTGTCCTGGCATCTTGTTGACCAAGTTAAATGAAAATGAGACAGCCTTCACCCCTCCAATTTGCTAGCTCTCAGCACCTTTGACAGCCTGTTTGAGCAAAATTAAGTTTAAGAAGAAGTTTCAGGGCTACCAAATGTAGAAGTTTACGCACTTTGGCCAAGCTAACAGCAGCATGAACTTGGCTAAGAGATTTTCATTTCATCAGGCATTCTTTATGTTGCATAAATACGACGAATCTTCATAAACATAAAATGACCAGTAAATCAGGTATCATAGGCTTCGGAGGCAGTATTCATGAAAAAAGAAAGAGTTAAATTGTTGCCATGTGCACCAACTCACTCTGTTACCCACAAAAAAGATAAAACATGGACAACATAAAATGGAAAATCGAATTCAGGTAAAGGAAAAAATTTTCAAACTTATTGCTCTATTGCAGGATGAAGAAATTTTCAAATGAATGATGGTTTCCAATATACAGGATGGAAACGATGATAAATTGTCAGATAATGTGCAACAAAAGTCAATCTACTGCCAATAACTACAAATTGCTTAACATTAGTATGAATCTTCAGCACTGAGAGCAGGTTTACTTCTCATAACCGGAAACACAACTGTATGTAAGAAATTTAGCAGAAAATAGGACGGAATTTATAAGCAGGAACTAATTGACAGGTCAGAGTTTATTGCGTTGCCACTCATTGATCAAGCTATACAGTAATGAAAAACATCAATGTACTAGCTTGATCTTAGTCTGAATGAGAATGCTAGGTACTCAGTGGGAATTACTGCTCAAGGCTGACAACACGCAGGACATCGAAATTAGTTCCACAGAACTACTAAAGTTGATGTAGTAGTAAAAGCAAAGGCAGAAAATGCAAGAAGAAAATCCTGTAATTCCATCCAATTTCCAAATACCCTACTCCATAAATTTGGATAACTAGTTCGTGCTTTAATATGAGATTCAGAAATGTCATGAGCCCAAAATGCAACAATAAGCAACATTACCATACATGTCAAACAGACATCAATAAGTAACTCACAATTCAGTTCAAAACCATGTTAATGCACTTTAAAAATAAGATAAGATATTGGTGTACCCTTTCATCCAAGAAGGTTTGAAAAAAAAAATTCTACAAGACATGACAGCACCATCTTAGTATTTCCCAGACCTCCTTTAAATCAAATTGGTATCCTAATCATCTAACTGAAAATTACAACTACAAGCATATCAAGCAAGAAAAGGAAGGGGAAAAAGGGTATCAAGTACGCTTTCCTAAGACATCATCCAATAATCTTTTCATCGATGATCAGTAATTAGCCTAACCAAATTTGTGACTTTTGGCCAAGTCAATCTGCTCAACAAGTGGTAAGGAACAACAAACCGAACCAAAAATAAAGGTTTTTCTAGTTTGTACCTTTTCCCAATTCCCTTGAACCATCAGTGACTTAGATTGATAGAATTTCTAGATTTCTAGACACTAGACATTACACTCAAACTCAAGTTGATAGAACCCTCAAGCACAGAAACCAATCAGGAAAACAACCAAAAAAAAAAGGCTATTCAAATCGATTATCGAAAACACTAGTAGGTAATATGTGGGTTTCAGACCGGCAAACCTAGAGAGACGAAGAGGGAAGAAGTTAGACGCCAAGATCTCTGCTGAAATGCCTCCACTCGTTGTCAAGTTGTCCCCGACTTCGCGATGGCACAATTCTGCCACTGCCGTCTAATATAATGCACTCTGAGCTTGCTAAAAGGCCCGTTACAGGTGATTTGTTTTGGGCCCAACTTAGAGCCTTAGCATTGACCAAGGCCCATTACCTGTAATTTATCTAGGCGCCAAAAAGATACTACCATTTAATACTTCTCGAGCTGAACCAAAAGAAATGTACTTTTCAAAATAAAAACTAAAATTTGGTCTGTGCCTTAACATAGTCTATTTTCTTATTTATTATAAATTTATATAAATATAAATAATTTAAATATAAAAAATAACAACAATACTATATATTCATTCCTATTAATTTTAAAAATTAATGTATTCTAAATATTCAATTATTTATTAATTTTAAAAAAAAATTCACATACTTTCACTATAATATGATAGTATATATCAAACAATGTATTCCATATCAAAATTTTGATATTTATAAATATTTTTTTTGATAATTTAAATTTGGGTTAATCACAATTAATCCCCCTAAAGTATACCTCATTTCTCACTTTACCCCCTAACCATTTTTTTGTCTCACTTTATCCCCTATTGGACAAAATTATCCCTCTACTATTCTAAACTCTTATTTTTCTCTTTTATTTTTTTCCCTTTCCCCTTTTGTGCTCCTTTATTTTCTTTGCCTCTTTTTTCTTTCTTTAATTCTTTCTCTTTCCCACAAAAAATCTTCATCTTAATGATTGAAATTTAAAAAGAGGAATTGCAGAGACCTATTTTCTCCTAAAATGATTACAAAATATTCAAACCACTTTCCTAAAATACAATTTTTTTCAAATTCTTTCAATTCTTTTAATTTTTTATTTTTCCTCTTTTCTTTATAGTTTCTCATTTTATTCTCAAGAAAATATCAAAAGATGAAATTGTGACCTGATTAATAATAATCAATTGAAAATTGTGACATGTGGCATCATACACAAAATAAAAATTAGTTTTGGTGCATTTTAAACTTTCACCCAAAAATGCAATTATAAATTCAAGATAAAAATTTTCGTTGAGATGGAGTTTTCTACTAGGAAGGATGAAAGAGAGAAGAAAGAAGAAAGAGAAAAAGAAATAAAAGAGAGGAAAAAAGATAAATGAATAATCAAAATAATGGAAGGGTAATTTTGTCCTATAGGGGGTTAAGTGAGCAAAATTAAAAGTTAGGGGGTAAAGTGAGAAATGAAGTATACCTTAAGAGGATTAATTGTGATTAACCCTTTAAATTTTTATGATGACCATAAATCTAGAACTATATATTCACATTTAATTAATAAGGCAGAAATGAGGGGAAAAGAAAGATAAAATTTGAAAATTTTTCTATTTAAAATCGTAAGAATTATAGCAAACATCAAGTCAAAAGAGATGACTAACCTATTTTACTGAATTTTATAATCATTAGTGTAATTTTGTTGCTTATTTGTATTATCTAATTTATTAAATGTAAACTTTTTGAGTGGTTACATGTGTTTATTAACTGTTCCTAAGTTTTATTTATTTTTATTCTTTTAATAATATGACTTATATACATGCATAAAGGGTATTTATGAAATAAAAATTTCGTCTCTTTTTTTAAAATACTTTTTTAATGTTACTTTTTTCTAATTGGAATAACTTTGTTATCAAAATTATAACCTTATGGGAGGTTTGTATAATTTTATAAAATTTAGAGGAGGCTAGTGAAATTGTTAGAAATCTTAAGGGAGGTTTCTCAAATTATCTCTACAATTATATGTACAGATTTTTTTTGGAGGTAAAATAGATCATGTATGTGTGGTACTATCAACTAGAGAGCACCAAATTACCAGGGACGTAAAAATGATTTACCCACTAGTCAGCAGAAATTTGTACCAGGTATAGTATAGCACTTAGCGGTAGGTTTAGCCGAGTAAGGAAAAAGTTCCTCGAAGAGCGTCCCACACTCAAGTACGCGCTGGTAGAGGTGGGTCCCACACTTGAATCCCGCTTTTAAATACTCTTCGCTCGTTCGTACGCAGTACGCCTCTTTCTCCTCTAGACCTGGCACGCAACAGCCCCTGCCCCCTAGTGTTTTAGCTAATGGAAACAATGCATAGCAAAGCGGAGTCTTTTTCTTTCTTTCTCCGCTCAAATCCAATCTGACATATCAGTCCATGATGGACTTCAACTATGGCATATTTAGGTTTTCTTCCAACTACTTGGCGCATGGGCATTATGCTTTTTCTCCACTTCATCCTTTCACCATACGAAGAACACTAAACCCTACAAATCAACCAAAAAATACTCAAACCTCATCTAAAATCCTCAAAACCTTACAATGAGAGCTCGGATAATAGGTTTAGCGGCCTGGTATAGCAAGGTTCTCAGAGAATCTCTCACACTTGAAGAAGTGGGAAGGTCTTTGGTAAAAAAGTGTCTCATTCCAATGGACATTAAAGTCCTCCTAAATAGGAGGACAGAGCCTGGTTGTGTAAAGATTGTGGTTCATCCTTCCACATTTCAAAAGCTAAATCTTGCCCAGCATATTCCCTATTCTGTCAAAGGTTTGTTTGAAGATCTTGATGAAACCATGACAAAGAAATTTTCTGATCTCTTGTTCTTGTTGTCGGTTTTAGAACATGGTGGCTTGTTGGCTGGAATCAAGCTAGAAATTGACGAAGGAAAGGCCCTACTAAAGAAGGTGTTCGGTGGATATGAGGTGGACTCCACAATGGCTGATTTTGATATAGATTTTGAACTTCAAATGATTGAGTCATTGATATTGAAACTTAAAAAGGATTCTGCTAAAAGCCTCGCCATTGGCAGGGAAGAAGAGTCTACAGGGATTAGAGGAGAAGAAACTGAAGAAAATAGTGGAGAAGAAGGTGATAAAGAAGGTCCAGATGGTTAGAAGATGCTTGGTGCAGAGGTGGTTTAGTTTGTTGGCTAAAAACAACTTTCGTTGGCTTTGTTTTTTCATTGTCTAATCAGTTTCCGCATCTCTGGAAGTTTCTTTTTCTTTTTCTTTTTTGGTTGGAGCGGTTATTGATCCTTGCTAATTGATTTACCTAATTAATTGTTAATAAGCATGATTTTCTCCGAGGAAAATTGTGTGGATTGAACAAAAGCTTGCTCCTCTTCATCTTTATACCATTAGGACCATTATATAGTAGTTTCTTTTGTTTTGTTTTGTTTAAGTGAGGTAGGGAGAAATTTCAAGATGAAGATCAATGATATCAGACTTAACAAATGGGAAACCGATTATCGTGATAAGTTCTTTTGTTTCATTTCGTTTTATTTCCTGTTCGAGTGCTTTAACATTTTATATGCCATGTAGAAGAACTTTGATTATCTAGAAAACATCTGCCACTAATCATTATGTGCAGTTGTTTAATATATTTAACTAAAACTTTGATAACAACATAAAACATAGGCCCTTTATTAACGTTGCTTTAGTAGATTCAAATCGAGTTATAGGACCATTTCTTATCAATGTTGAGATAGATAGGGGTCGCACAAAGTCGCATTTGGGACCCTCTCTTTAAATTTGTTAGTTATTAAAGAAAATGGGAACGAATACAACCTTTAGCGTAAAAAAATAGTTTTCCTGAGTTTTGGTCTCTCTTTTGTCAATTTTTATCAAAGTTAATGTATGACATTGCCTCAAATGACACGCATACAGTGTAGAAGAGCTATGCCCGTTGTGAGTGTGAGGCGGACTTTATATGAACCGTTCACAGATGCAAATACCTCATTATAGAATTAGTTATCTTATAGAGTATGTGCTGCTTAGAATTAGATACCACACCTCTTGCCAGTTTATTAGGTTTGAGTTCCAAGTCAGATTGGCCGGCCACGTACCAACTACCAAGCAAGCGGTGGTCCAAATTCAAGTTGCTAGTTGTTACAGCCTGAGTACATTATTATTACATTCATGGACGGGCGGGCAAATAAATTAGGCCTTGTTTGGATTGCGATTTTTCGTCGAAAAATTACGTCATTTTCCGTGATTACATTTCCTTATTATCTTTTTCCCTCACATACGTCAAATCGCTACAGTAATTTTTTCATGAAAAATGCAATCCAAACACAACCTAAGTAAGTAGCTCGTAGTCATAGCCGGAAGCGAAATTGGAATCCCGTTCCGAGCTCTCGCCATAGGTCATTTGCCTCACCGTCTTCTCTTTGATACTTCCCCACACGTGTGCCAACAGTATGCATGCATGCATGTCCGCAACCAACCTGGCTGCAAGTGTAGGATCGTCACGTGAAAGGCACACACTGCACGTGCCTCTTGCCCGCAGAATGTGGCCACATTTTCTCAATCATTACTCTCTTTAATTCCATGCTTACCGTTGATATGCCTGCAAGAAGACAATGAGGGACTCCTTCAGCTTCTCTTTTTACAACTTCGCATAGTTGTCATTTCCTGAAACTATTTGTCAGTCATTCAGCCCAACTTACCTTCCTCAAATTGTTTGTTGGGCTGCCTAAAAACAAATCATAGGATTGCGTCATGGGCCCAAAGAGAAGGCCCGTGAGTTGGAATAGGGAGTCCCATAATGCAACTATTACTTTTATCCTCCCTGTCATCTCAATAATTCTCCCGTGAAAATTACTAAGCAACACCAAACCATATCAATGCCCAGACTAGCAGGAAATGTGTTTTTTTTTTCCACACATGCAGTAGTTGATGGGTGACAGGAATGAAGCTGTTCTCCGCAAGCAAAACTTATGACAATGGCCAGAAATTGAAATGAAAAACTATTCGGTGAGCAAGAGTAGAAGCAGAAAGTGTCTTATCTAGTTAGTATTCAGCTCAAAGGCTCGTCATCATGATCTGGTCCATAACAAGTCAAAAGACTTACGTGGAGGAGTCCAAGCACATTAGAACCATATATGTGAAATTACAAGAGATATCATACTGCTGAGAAGAAGTCAAAAGTCAAACTGTTGTCACCTGCTGCCACTCTCCATCCACTTCTTCCTTCCACAATGTCACGTTGTTACTGCCATCT